GCTTGATAATATTTAACTGATTTAGATGTTAAAAAAAGCCTGCACAGTCATTTTATTTCTGATTTGTCTAGAAAAAACAACACTTTTGTGTTCTGCCTACATTTCATTAATTTTTCCCCATACCAGTGAATTTATAAAATATATTTTTTACCAGCTGCTCAATATTTTTGCGGGACTCTTTGACAAAAAAAGTATGGAAATCCATACTTCTAAGTCTTCTAAGTGAGTCTATTTATTTTTATTATTTAAGTGTAGTTACTTCACTTTTTTTTCTCTAAGATAGAGCAAGACTGATCTTAGAAAATGTGTCAAGATAAAACAGACATTTAAAAGGTTTTTTTGGTCATAACTCAATTTTGGACAAAATTGTAGTGACTGCAGGTTGACTTTGTAGGGCAGAATAGGAAATGGAAAGGCCATGGTCTCTGCTCTGTTCTCACTGTCATGTAGGCTTTCATTATGGTGAGGAGGGAGATTAGTTGTGGGTTGGGTATACAGTATGGTTAGCTTTAATAGCTTGTGTTTACTTACGCTACACTCCAGAAAATTAAACCTACACACACACACACACATTTGTCTATGAGAGAGCGCGTCAACCCCTCTTGAACCTGGCCGACGGGCTCTGAACGTTCTCCCACAGCAGCGCGTGTCACTGTTCCACAGACACACAGATGGACAGACGGAGCAGGAATAGATGAGTCACTCTGATGTACAGATCAGAATACTGGAAGATAGGCTGAGAGAGTGTTTTACAGAGACTTCATGTTGAATAACTTTTTCATGGATGAGCAGAAGGTTTAAATGGGTGAGTGATTTGACTTAGTGTCTCTCTTCTGTGCTGCTGACTTTTTCTGCTGACAGGCTGCTAGTTCTGCCTCTCTTCAGATATGTTCTTACGTGTGTGTGTGCGCGCTTTCTTGTCTCACAATTGGGAAGTATTGAGCAGCTCCACTCGAGCCATTCAGGGTTGATTGCCTTGCTCAAGGGCAATTCAGCTGCAGTTGTTAAGCAAGGGTGAAATGGTTCTCATTACTTCCTCCCAGACTGTTTCCGTTGTGTTGAAACCACAGTATTTATGAAGGAAAATTGATCAAAGATTTTTGCCACAATCTCCATTTTTACCATTTATCCTACTAAGTTGCATCTCCCCCGCAGGAGCTGGCATCAGTATTGACAATGGAACTATAGTGCGTATAAATGTACCCCATTCTCTGATTGTTTAGTAAATTAATGTGCGATTAATCTGAGCCCTTCAATAGCCTTTCATGGTCACCCTTAGCATGACGTAACTATGGAACTATGACTACTGAGTTACAGTCATGTCCGTTACACCTGAGCAAAATCTGTCTGCGGAGGAAGAGATGCCATTGCTAGTAAATGGACCTTTAGTCAAGATTTTTTTCCAACAGTTTTTTCTTTGGACTTTGGAAACAACTAGATCTAAGTTGCATTTTGTTTTGACATCTTCACCATCCCTCTTATTTAGGACCGGGGACACTTTCAGTACATTTTTAACTTAATACTATATGTTATTATTATATATTATAGTATATTTCAGTAGGGATGGGCAAAATAAACAACCTAAACACATTTCCTCAATAAGAAAAATTTAAATTTTGATATAGGTTACACCTCTGACAACATACTTAAAACCAATCACATCACTGTTAAAACTATTTTTATTTTAAATCAAACATACTTTATGGCTGTTCTTTAGGGACAGATTTCCCAAAATAGGCACAGCAGAGTTGGTAAACTAACTAAACACACCACATGCTATTGTTTTGTATAAAAGTCAATACATAAAGTGCTCTGACACAGGAAACTTTAAGTGTTGGCAAAAAGAGCTCAGTTACACCACTCTTAAACATAAAGCACCCTTGTGGACAAACAAGGTAACAAAACGATGGTGGCGGTTTTCCTACATAAAGCCCTGTTTAGCTACAAAGTGGATGAGACTAATTAAAATCTGACAGAGATGATGGAACACCATAACCTCACAACATACTGTTGTTACTGTTCTTAAGCACACCTATTCAGGGATCCAGTTCTCAGCATTATTAGAACCCATCATTATTAATTAACTCATTTATTCATTACACTTCTGTTATATACTGTAGTATACATATTTAGAAGTCTCATTTTCTATTTTCTATATATTGTTATATACTGTAGTATAATGTGCATATTTTTACACACTCTTATTTTTTTCTATTTTCTAAATATATTGTTGTTATATATTAGAAGATTAACTTTATTCATTCCAAATGGGGAAATTCTTTCTTTTTTCACTCAATGTTTACACACATTGGCCCAAAATACACTCTCTCACACACACTCTCTCTCTCGTCTTCTCTCTCTTTCTTCTCTCTCTTCTCTCTCTCTCTCTCTCTCTCTTCTCTCTCTCTAACACTGCTCTCTCTCACACACACACTCTCACGTCTCCACACCTCACACTCTTCACACTCCTCAACACACACTCACACACACACACACACACACACACACACACACACACAACACACACACACACACAGCTTATAGACATACAATGTGGGGAGGTGGTGGTGTGATGGGCTGCACAACTAATTTCCCCAGGGGGATGAATAAAGTATTTCTGATTCTGATTCTGAAAATCATCAGCCAATAAAGCATGCAGAGTGCAAGCGCACAATTGCAAACACAGATTTAGACGTGTCCACTGGAACAAGCAGTCTGGCACTTGGGTAAATATTCCTGCAACATTCCTAAATGCCATTTCCAGTTTTAAATTGGTGCCACTACACACAGTCAGAAAATGAAGGATTTTAACTGAACATCACTACCCCATTCCCATGGCTGTAAACATTTATACTGATAAGATGGAAGTTTTTTTCTTTATTTTTGTATATTTAGAATATGTTTTAGTGTTTAAGAGTTTCTCTTTTCTATTTTGTATTTATATCAATATTGACTGATAAGAAAAAATTATAGTGATAAAACCATTAGCGCGATATTTTATTCAGCCAAAGCTCTTCATTTATCACTGATGCATTGAACAGTTTGGTATATTTTTCAAAAAATAAAAAGCGAAAAAAAGCGAAAAAAAAGCCTACACTTCTTCTTCTTTCCTTGCTACTAACTCCTGCTCCTTCTTGCCTTCCCACTCAGCTGACGCTTCAGCCAGCCAATCAGGCCACTCGGCTGCTAACGCTAGGAAACGCTTCACCCTGCAGGGACTTTCCAACAGGAGGTCTCTTCCAGCAGGTAACCGCAATGCATCCAGTGCTCGCGTCTTCATCAAGAGCATCATCACTGGTGTCTTGTCGACATCATCGTCTGTCCTTTGTTCATCTGTTACTGCTGTCATCATCATCTTCATCATAATGATAATCATGATCATCCTGAGCGGCAGCTTGCATATACCTTGCCTCTGTCCTTCCTCCGTCTCCACCCTTTTCCTTCCTCAAGTGTTCTATACATTTCTGTGTTAGTGTACATTTCGTTGTCATCGGGTGGATCTCTCCACGCATTCCAGCGCCCGCGGGGTCCCAACATAATAAAGGCCACATCTTCCTCTACTCCCCTTTTCATCTGTTCACATCAGAATCGTCTGCATCTGCTCGAGGAAACTGTGATTTAGGAAAGAGAGGGACAGGGTACTGTTGAAGAGACAGAATTTAAAGACAGGGAAACTGCAGGAGATAAACAGATGGATGGAAAGAGAGAGTATCTGCCCAGCAGTGGTGACACCACATCAAGGCTAAATTCCACTGCACTAAATGTCACGCTCTAATATTCGAGGCCTCTTGACATTTGAAAGCGCATTAACATTTTTGGAGGGGGACAGTCTTGATTCCAGGTTCTGCTTTCCATGTCGCAGTAGCCACACACACTCCTAATGAGACGATGAGAAGTGAGGTGGAGTCAGTTGACTAGTCAAGCAAAGATGTCCAGAAAACCCACAGTATTCCAACATCCTCATGAGGAAAGCAAGTAAAAATGAAAAAAGGACCTGCAAATTCTCAAATAGTTGCCTTCATTTACCTTGAAGATACAGTAGGTCATTTTTATACAAACAATTTTTTGTCATATTTATACTTACTTACATACATACAATAATATACAATATCTTACTCACTATATCCTGACAGTAGTACATGAGACAGATAATCTGTAAAAAAAAAAAAAAAAAAAACAATCTGGTTCCTCTGGCTCCTCGTAGTCCTCCTAATGACATTTGGAAGAATCCACCAGGCCCTGAATGAAAACAGGCTGGTATGTGGATAATTTTCCAATCGTTTACCCGCTCAGAGCCCATCCAGCACCTTTTGGATGAACTACAATGCTGACTGAACCAGACCTGATCAGCCAACATCAGTTTTGGACTTTACTGATGCTGTTGAGGCTGAATGGGAGCAAATCCCTGCAGTCAGGTTCTATAATTATAGGAAATGTGGTATTAAAGGCTGATTTATGATGATTTCCTATATTTCTTAAAGAATTAATTCATGATGCTGTCATATATTGGTGTAGTTGTGCTATGACAGTCACTAACCTGAACATGTAGAACTGTACATTGTTTAAACTGAATCCTTATCCTAAACCCAAACTTTAAGGATGAACTCAACCATTGTAAAGATGACTGGCTTTATATTTGGTCCTCATACAGTAAATACTCACTATACTGTATATGCACACACTCCTAAGCTTTGCCTTGAGCGGCGATTGCGCCGTCTGCTGCATAAGATGAAAATTAATGCAGAGACGATGGCAGGTGTCTTACTGCTGAATGGACTCACACATTAATGGCTTCCTGTGCTTGGTTGCCGCGTGTGTCCGCTCAATAAGCCCAGTGTGTTAGATTACTGGAGGAAGGACTGAAATCCAGGCCCCCTCCATCCACTCCATCCTGTGACTACTCCGACATGAAAGCAGTGGCTTGGCTGTTTGTTTTTTACAGTGACACAGCATTCCAACAGAAGGAGGTGGAATTCAACCCGCAACTTTACAAGTTGTTTAACCACAGTCATTTACTTTGAAGTCACCAGGTGTGCATATCAATGGATGGAAAACTACCTTTAAAATAAGTGGAAGCTGTTCCCCAGTTGTGTTGCAGTGGTGTTGCGTCAGGTATAATGAGACCTCCATGCTGAAAAGTCACATTATTCACTTAGTTAGCCTCGTACTTTGTCCTGACTTTGCTGGTCTAATGTGTCTCCTCCTTTGACGTGAAAAGGATTGCATTTCCTTTTGATGGTGTTTATTTTTGAGTGTGAACGTTCATTCTTGACTCCGGAAACAGTTTGACGGACAAAAAAAAAAAAAATCTACTCAAAGTTTACTTACTTTTCTGGAGTTTCAATCTCATGTCTCATGGTCTTCCTCAACGGACGGATGCTTTGGGTTAACGATACAATCTTCCTCCCATATACGACCACCTAATCTCACCTGGCCTTAGCAAACTCCATCCACTGAGGAAGACCATGAGATGAGGAGAAAGCTCTGGTAAAACTAATAAACTCCTTTTTTTGTTTGTATTTTTGTTTTGTTTTTGTCCCATGATTTAATTTCCTGCTTCCTCTTTCCATTTGCTTAATCCGTTGTTATTTTTCATGGATTTTACTTGTAGGTCACCTTTAAAGCAATTTGCAACGTTTGATAACTGGTCAGTAGATAAACTGCTATTATTAACATTAAGTAATTATCATAAGTAAGTATCGCCTTTATAATTTTATTAATATGTCTGAAAATGAATAGCTTGTGTTTTGATGTGAAGTTGGAATCAAGAAGTGTGTTAAGAATGTTAACATCTTCCTTTCTTTTAATTACGCTGTTACCTACGCTGTTACCCTGGTTTGCATTCTGTGTAACTCCTTATCTCTCTTTCAAACCTCCTCTGCTTCTTAATTTCTTCTCCCTTTCCCTTCCCTTTTCTCCAATTTGCCCCTTCCTTTGCTCCTTTATGGTCTCTCTCCATATCCTTTCCTCTTTCACGACCCCTCTCCGGCTTTAGAGCCAGCTGCTAAGGAGGCACAGGTCCCCCGCCGCTTCTCCCTTACCTCCTCTCTCGCCTCCTCCTCCTCCTCCTCCTCATTCGCCACAAGACGCACAAAAGGTACCTGATTAGCTTTCCAAAGTCTTCTTGCCTCCACCTTTAGCTATTTCTGTATTTTATGTTCACATTCACACAGCAAACGAATGAAAGTGTACATACTGCTCACAGTAGAAGCCTAATAATCACACTGCATTGTTTGATAGGCTCAGCGGTGCAGTGTTTAATGAAAATATGGGTAAATTAAGACCTTTAGTCAGATGTAAAGATCGGCCAATATGAACAAAAAGTCCATTGCTGTTACCCTATAGTCCAATTTTATGATTTAATTTTTTTTCTTCTTGCTTTTCTTCTTGTTTCTCTGTCCATGCAGACCAGCAATGTCAGACTCTTTGTGTTTAAGGGCAAACTATCATACGCTCAACTCTACTATACTGCGACACACACCAAATCGAATGTGCAGCATATATTGCACAGTTTACAGTACACACTTGGGTTCAACAAGTTGACTGTAATGGGCTCCAAATAGAGTAACAGACACACTGTGCATCCTAACACGTAAACAAATCGATTATAGGAATGACATTTTTTCACCGTAAAATAAATCTATGACATTACAAAATTAAATTGAAGGTATTATAAAATTGTTTATTAAACTTTGTGCTTAGGGCTAAAATAAGTCTAAGTCTGCCCAAGCCAGACCTACAGCAGCAGTTTTGGGCCTAAACACAGCCCGAACCCCATTGTGTCAGGCTCTAATGTACATTAAGGTTTGTGCAGTATATCTCAGTAGGATGAATTCTAAAAATGTATAGATAATTTGTATTTGAGGTTAATTTTGAGGTAGAACAATGCAAGAACAACACCAAACGTCCACTTAGAAGTTGAGAGCACACTGTTTAGTTGGGTTTGCCCTTCACTACATGCCAGGTTATCGTTTTTCACCAAAACACTATTAGCAGCTCGAACACTCAAATTGAATCTGTCCTCAGAAAACGTGTGTATGTGTGTACATGTATAGTGTGGGGGGGGAAACATTTTTTTATTACCTTTTCCCCATTTACAGCTCTCTTGAAATTTATGAGATGCATAGAGAAAGTCAAGGCTTTGCTGAGAACGAAAACAATGTTAAAGGGGGAAAAAGCTGCAAATGAGTTGACATACATATTCTCTTTAAAAAGCGACAGTAAGGAAATAAGAATTTTGATAAGCTGACATTTGGAACGTAGGGTGACATTCAAAGTGGCAGTAGAAGTGCAATTTACTGCAGGAATACAGATGAGAAGTTAATTTTCAACCAGGCAGAGGCAAGGGAGGAATTAAAAACAGCAAAAGAGAGCTATTGAAGTTTTCCCTTGAACTATTTCCGCTCAGTTGCTTCTCGGCTTTTATTATATTTCCCTTTTCCTGAGCGCACTCGAGAGTGTTTCAATAACGTCTGACCGATGAGAGTGCTGCAGGTCACAAGTGCTCCATGGAGTCGGGAATGTAGCTGTAGCATTGTGGCCTCTGATTTGAATTCTCATCCACCTCATACATTAATATCAGGAAAAAATATTCATTCACTTGATTGGTACAATAGAAACTGTACGTAGGCTATATGATGTGTCCACTGGCCAAATGGCTGTTCAAATTCATTATATTGCCTTTAGGTTTTTCTGGCTGTTCAGTGACTTACTGGGACACTTGTTAATGTTATGCCTGTGCTTTCCCTCAACGTTGACCTACCACACTCACAGTACCTGTGCGCATGCATTTTTTCCTACACAGTGTAGGATTGTTTTCAACATTTCAGCTGCACTCACTCTCGGTTTCACTTCCAAATGAAGAGGTTTGGATCATTTGGCTAGCCTGTTGGCTTGTTTACAATCTACCTGATCCTAGATCTCAGCCCTTTGGTCAGTATAATGTTATCATAACTCATAAAACAGATGGCTAAACTAAAAAAGTTTGACCCAAGTTCTGAGGTAAATAACAAGAATGATCCTTTAGGCCCTCTTCAGACATGCACTGCACTTTGCAAATGTACTAGCATTTTAATATGATGGGTTTACATTTGAATAAGCCCTCCAGTTGTTTATCTGTAAAAGTCCTAAGAAGTAGAACCTAGTCATATATTTATTAAAATAATAAAAATAATATATTTAGAATTCAACTTTCATTCATGCATGTGAGACATGATTACGCCATGTCATTTTTCACTTTGTTTTGGCGCTCTCAAACTATATTAAGCAATCTAGGCAGCATAAATTCTATATACAACTGATGAGTATAGGGCTGCTAAGAGTTGTGAGAACTGGTGGTTCAACACTCATTCAACTGCAAAAATTTCTTTTAAATCAAAATGTTTAAATGAGCCTTTACTTTAACAGATGGATGTTACAGATTGTGTGTCTCAAAGAACTTTCAATATGTTGTCTAAAAGGATTTTGGTTTCTAATTCTGGTTACTTCTCCTGGCCAGGTCCCCTCTCTGCTAGCATAAAAAGCAAGAGACATGAGATAAAGAGTGATCCCACTCCATTTGGTTATGAAGGTACATAAAAATGCCAAGATATGTATGTAATGTACTAGTTTGGTTAATTAGGCACAGTTATTGTTTTTATTTGTCAATGACGTGTGTATGTTTGCATGTGTTTGTGTGCTTGTTCACTTGGTGTTTTTCTTGCCTGCTGTGTTGACTTGTGTCGTGATTTGTGATATGATGCTTAAATGCATATGTATAAAATGAAGATAAAATATCTTCGTAGTTTTGGTGTGGTGACGGGTTTGTCGGTTTTTAGGCCTGTTGATTTCTGCATGAGTTGGCACTAGATATACCGAATTTCATTTGATCTATCAGGATCTGCACGTTTTAAATTTTGGTTGTCGATGTTGAATGGTGGTCATAATGAAAAGGCTGGTATAAAGCATTTGGCTTCCCTCCAGATACTTTGCGTGGTGCTATGGCTGCAGTCAGGAAACGTCAGAGCATGACTAGCAACACTGCTACTGCTGCTGGCGGCATCTCAGCTGTCCCTAGATCCACTTCCCAACCAGGTAACCACAGACGAGGACTCACCTCCTACAGTCATTTGTGTGGTTGTTTTCTTGCTGGAATCGATTTCAGTTTTATGTGTTGATTGAGTTTGCGGGCTCTCTCTGGCTTTTATTTCATATTGTGGATTTTTCCAGAGTTTCTGATTGGTAACTTCATCTTCTTTCTGCAGCACCTTGATTTCTACCATCAGATTAGTCATAAAGAAATAGTTCTGAAACCTCAAGTTCTATCGCCTTTTACCAGCCATGTCTACCTTCCCGTCTTGCTATGAACTGCTCCTGTTTTGGTGGCTACTACGCTGGCAAGATATAAACAGGAATATTAGACCTAATTATTTCTTGACTGGTTAAAAGCCTCTGCTGCTGCTGACAACCTCTTGAATGGCTGCTCAGCCAATATATGATGCATCTTATTGTGGTTTTAGACCACTGTCTCCTGCACCCTTTTTTCACCCATTTACTCGTAATAGACGGAAGCGGGATCAGGAGGAAACTAATGTGGCTAGGACAGCACCCATTTGAAAAAATAATGCAAAATTTATAAATTTTTTACAAGACGTGGCGTAGACCCACTTGACAATCATTTGGCTTCAGGGTGGCTAGATAAACTTTTTTAAGGATGGTTAGACAGAACTTGATTCATTTTGGCATGAACTCTCTCTTCAAAGTCAGAAACACTCACATATAAAGTGTGTCTCTGTCATGCATTTCTGATCAATTGGCAATATTACAGACTGTTCTACATGCTTTCAAAGTCATTCTGTGTGACCTGGCTAGTTTAATTATTGCAAACAGTTTAATTATTGCAAACAGACTTGTCAAGCTTTTCATGTTGATGTAAGACAAACTACTTAACTGCATAGGAACATTGCTTTCCTGTCAGTGAAGCACCATCACCTGCCAAGTGGAATAGTATTACCCCCCTTGTTTACGAGTACATTTTGGTGGTTAATAATGTGTATTGATTGCACTCAGGCTGGGCCCAGCGGCGTCTTCCTTCCATGGACACAGACGATTTTGAGACAATACCCTCCAGCGCAGAGGAATCCTCCAACTCGTCAGAAGAGGAAGGCAGCAACAAAAACGTAGGTATACACTCAAGATTGCAGCTCACTTTGGCCAAATGTCGGAGAGTTTAACCCAAATATGATTGGAGCATTATTGGGCCCGGGTAAATCATTTTATTCATAATCAGTTCAGTCGCACTAAACATTGTCAAACCTTGGGCCAAGTGAAAGATGCAGCTCGGCCCATCCCATTCCGGTCCTTCTGGGTTGTGTCAGCTTCAGCCATAAATCATCACATTGTAAGATCACTCACCTTCCCTCGACAGCTCTCCACTCATCCCTCGTTTCCTCTACACTCATCCTTCACTTTCCCCTCTTTTCCACTAAATCCCCCTCTGATCCCTCTGACAGAGGACCCCTCCGTTGCTTAATTATTTCCCATGGACATGCGTCTCATTAGCGGCTGGCACTGAAGACTTGACATTTAAGAAACGAGGTAGAAGAGACAAAAGACTGGGAGGATTATAGCCACACAGGTCTGCTGGGTATGGCAGCCTTTCCAGATCCATTATAATCTGTGTGATGTACAGTGGAAAGCCACACATGCATCATACACACACACACACACA